GAAGTGTGAGGAGAAATTTGTTTAATGAAGTTTTTTTTTTGTGACGAAATAATTTTCGACGAAATGAATCAGACCCCATTTATTCATTTAGTAATCTGAAAAGGTTTCTAGTTACACATAGATTTGTAAATGTCATAATATTACGGCATCCGAGTGATAGCCATAATGTCATCGTGTCATAATAAAATGTAATAATCAATGGCCGAGTTTGGATTAATTTTTGAGCTACACTCGTCGATAAATCGCAACCTTTTATATTCAATACTCATAATTAATTTGTTTTACGAATTTGCTACCCCTTTCTTGTACCTAGAAAGCCTCGGCGAATCCGTAAGCATATTTTTATGGTACAATTTAACAACAAATGAAACGTTGCCTTATTATAAAGCAACGAATGCTTTAGTGAAGTTCCTTATTATTTACTTTTGCTTTTCTTGGCCGATCAAATTCAGCCCCACGTTTGCAAAATACGTTAACACAATACAACAAAGTGATATGTAATAAATGTCAATACTTTATATCTGACCGAACAATCTTAACACCTTACGTTTACGCAAAACACTTAAATTCTTTTACAAAAACAAAAACATTTACGCTTAACAAAAACCAAAAATTAAACCTTTGCTTTCTACCAAAGCAAATAACCAAAACCGAGTTACAAGCCTCAGAGTTCTATATACGTATGGTTATCTATTCGAATAAGGCTTATTTGAATTATTTGTTTTACTAGTTATGAATTTGAGTATTCGAATTACATTGAAAGTTTATTCGAATAATTCGAATAAGAATATATATTACGGATAGAAACTCTGGTTAAATGCCACTCTGATAACAAAATAAACAAAAGAATTAATCGGTTTATTATTTAATTCTTAAAAATATTTGTTACAGAAATGAATTAATTAACAAATTTTCTGCCTCTACTCTTACGGGCAAGGCTCTAAAATGCTAATTAGTTAATTAGTTGCTAGCTAATAGTAGATAGTTCATAGTCCAAAACCGTTTTTTTTTGTGAATCTCTCTAAAATTTATTAACCAACATTCCTCATAAAGCAATGACCATATGAAAGCTTAGAGTATTTTACACCTTCTCAGCCATTATCAAGTCTTTTATCTAAGCTTTGAAGCGAAAAGATAATGCCGTTTTTGGATAACCGTTGATTTATGTAGAGAAGACCTTTCTAGAAAGTTTTAATTATAAAAAAACGTCGGCAACACGATTTGATAAAACTATAAAACTTATCGGTTAATTTCGAAGTATTATTGATGCTCAACGGCTGTTATAAGCAACTTTTGATTAGAAAAAAATTTTATTGAACGAGTTTGCGTGGCACAACAGTAAGAGCACACCACGAAAGCGATGATTATTGATTGATGAACGCTTGGTTCATGTAATTTATTATTATTTTTACTTATTACAATTAACATTAACACTATATATAAAATAAATAAATAAATAAATAATTAAAAATAAACAAAGATTTCCTATGCTATTAATATAAAATCTTCCTCAGTATAACCTAGACCTTTCAACGATTGCTCAACAACATTTATCATATCTATATGTCCACAAACAATTATTTTACTGTTAGGATCAAGTTTAGGTTTTCTCTTATTAATAATAACATTACTATATCTTTCACTCATTGTACCGTCACTACCATGAAATTTAATAATATAATTGTCATCATTTACAGATCTTGGATCAGTTATTGAATTAGTAATCAATAGAGGACTTGATGATTGTGGTGGTGGTGTCATTGTTAAATATTCTCGGAATTGTGATTGTTGACGTCGTTGTAGTGGTGGTGATGTTGATGTTGATGATGCTGATGATGTTGATGATGATCTATAATGTTGTTGGTAATTATGACTTAAAGCGCTTTCAGGATTAATTGATGTTCTATAAAAACTATTCTGATTATTATTATTCATCATAATTGGTGGTGGTGTTTTATGAGGTCTTGTATGATGTGGCACTATTGGTGGCGAATTATCATTATCATTATCATTATTTAATGAACCAACATATGATAAAGTATCATTATAAAGTTGTGGTGGTGAACTTGCACTAACTGGTGAATTTGGTAAATTTAACGAATTTTGCGAATTTGGTGTATTTGGTGTATTTGGTGTATTTGCTGTATTGTTATTTATATTAAATTGTACAATATTTGGCTTTTTACTTCTATTGGATGATGAACCAACATGCGATAAATTGTTTTTAAGTGATTGTGGAGGAGGAGTAGTAGGAGAATTTGGTAAAGTTGTTGCATAATTATCATTATTGTTGTTGTCGTCATTGTTACTGTTGTTGTTGCCAAGGCTGTTGTTGTTACTTTCATCATCAATAACAAATTTACTTGATTTTGAACTTAACCAATTTGAAATCATTTCATTATCAATTTTACCATATTCCCCTTTCCAACCTTGATCTGGTATATTTAGTGCATATGTTATAGTTAGCATACCCCTACTACTTATTTCATACTCTTCTAGTTCTACACCGTTAATTATATCCTCTATTCTATGATTGCCATATAACAAATGCATTGTTACTCGTTTATTACGTATTGTTGATGCATGACTACGTCTCATACACAATTCTAAATGATATGTTATCAACTATTTCATTATAATAATGATAATAATAAGTAATGAAAACAATAAATATAGATACATTATTATTATACAATAAAAATCTTACTTGTAACATTGGTGTAATTCCAGTACCACCACAAATCATGAATAATTCTTGCCAATGGCCATCCTGAGTATTAGGATTAAGTAAAGAACTTGTTGATGAAGATATGAATGATGGAGTAGTTCTTCCGGTCAAACTGGATTTTCTATATTGTAATGATGCATCAACAGTCTGGGATAATAATTGTGTTTGTAAATTTTCTCTATCTCCAACATCAAACGGTCCTCTCACTTGAATTTCATATCCTCTTAATTGTTCGTTCTAAAGTATGATAATTAAGTAATTAATAATAATAATAAATGTATATAATTAATTATTAATTATTTCAAAATCTTACCAAATGTCGTGACATTAATCCATCTGGATACACTTTAACAAAAATACTAAAACTTTTAACAATGTTGCCCTCTATTGGTGTATAGCTTCTAATTACCACTTGTCCTTTAATTCTTGATTGTACTTCAATATAATGTCCCGGCAAGAATTTCAATTTATGATGACGATTTTTATAAGCTTCATCTTCATTTTGATGTACTATTGTGAATGTGAATTTCATCACTGGATATTTTTTACTGCCATTGATGGGCACTTTACTTGTCAATTTGTATCTGCGGAACTTTATCCTAAATGCTGTGTCTTGTTTAGCCATTTCCTCATCACTTAATCCTCCATCGACTGCATTTGATGGACCAAATATCGGTGCAGGTTGTAACATTGATAAGTCAAGATCTGGGGTTTCTTTTAATTTTGCTACAATCATTGTTGCTATTTTTTTAATTGCAAACAAACTATGTGGGTGTATAGCCAAAGGTGCCTTTAAGAAATATTTAACATTCATATCATCAACAACTTGTGCAACTGAATTTTTTTGAGTTGTGTATTTTTTTGTCCTCTCACGTAAAATATCAGTATATTGCCCTAATATTGATGTTGAATAGCCAGTTGGGATAGATTTTATTTCTGGTAAATCAATCTCCTCAACGATCTCTTTACCTTTATAACCAAAAAAATCATTTGTTATATCTGTTCCTATGACACGTTCAAGAATTTTTGCCCCGCCAGGATGTACCCTAATCCATTTTCTCATATTAACAATAAACCCATCACAAACTACTAAATATGCACCGCGTTGAACACGTTCATTAACTTCACTCCATGTAAATTCTGGCAATCTATCAAAATCTTCTTTGGGAATATGCAATAAAAAAAGTGATTTTTTATCATTTTTCTTTTCATTTTCTTTTTCAAAATTCGACAGGGTATATTTCCATTTCCAAGTTCCTTTAAAATTCCACCAATATTCACCAAATATAAATGTTATTATTACCATGCCAATCCATATACAATATGCAATTTTATAATATAATGATTCATATCCATAAAATAAACAATATGAGTCAATTCCAAAATACACATTTACCCAGGCAGATATTAATAAAGCCAGACCAAAAAATCTGTGAACTCTTTTAACAAGCCTAGGATATCCCTGATTAACTGAGACTATTGCTACTTGACCCCAAATTGATATTAAGCCTAATCCAAGTTCAACAAATAACAAAACATATATTGATATTCCCAGCCATGAATGAATTGTTTTTGGACTAATTGTTGCCATAGATGCTGCACCAAAACCACAAATGCAAATACTACCAAACAATTGTAGAAATCGATGTATCTTGATGTAACTATTGGTATGTTTGTAATATCTTACAATAAAAATAGAAGCAGGAAATATAACACTATTATGGAGATGAAAAGAAATGAAAATTAATATTTTTTTATGATGTGAGACAAATATATTTAATATTAATGTATATTTAACATCAATATCCTACCACCAATTTAATAACATTCCAATTCCATGAGCTAATTTCACTAATCTTTGACCATCAGATACAGACGATGATGAAATTTGATTATTGTAAAAATCAACCGTTGTCATTTGACGATTATTTTGATGATACGAAAATACTGAACTTGTAGGGTTATAAGCCAAAATATCTGAAAATAATAAATATATTTGTTATCATTATTGTTAGAAGAAGAATAAGAATAAGAAGAATAAGAGAAATCAGCTTGTATATTTTTTGCAAATTTATCAGCTGACAAATAAATTAATTACATTTCATATTTCCTCTTTTAATCCCTTTTCTTCCATTAGGTACTAAAGGTCTTGAGAATTCAACAATTGCAAAATCATCATTATTAGAAAGTGTAAAATTGGTTAATTTTAAATCCGAATCATCTCCATCAGGCATAGGAGGCCTGTAATCAGTTGGATTAGATCGATAATTTGATAAAGATGATAGATTTCCATTAGAAATCTAAAAAAAACAAAAACAAAAACAAAAATTTTTAAAGTTATACTTTTTTGAATTTTTACAAGATCATAAAGCAATTATTTTTTAAAAAATATAACTCACAATTCCAATTACAAAATCTGCTCCAATCATTCCACCATTATCGTCAGGATCAAATCCCTATTTTATTGTTTAAATATATAAAGATATTTATAAATCATTATAATAATCATGACATCATCAACTAAATAACTTACTCACCATTCCAAACCATGCATTACCACTTGTAGTTAGTATTTGAACTTGGAAATTAATAAATTCTCCAACAATTTCATAACCAATAACATATGCTGATGGCCATAAAGCAATACGACCAGGGTATTTTGATGTTGAATCAGATAATTTCTGTGGTGGTTGGACTGTCCAAATATTTTGTGGGATTAGTGTTTGAAAAGTATAATCTAAATTACGTAATATAATATCTCTAAATGTTGTTTTATTTCTAAATGTAATGGTTCTATCATAATCAGTAAACAAGCCGTTCTCTTTATTCTCCCACCAAAATCTATCTGAATTTCTAATAGTCATAAACTATAAAAACGATAAAACAAGTAATGAACAATAATTAAATAAAATGAAAATAATAATAATAATAATAAACAATATAAAGATAACCATTTACTTGAGTAATCATACTAGTGCTCATCAATTCACCAAAGTTTGAATCATTTAAATGATCTTCAACTCTTGCTCCAACCAAAGCTTCTAATTGATTAGTTCCATTAGGATATAATTGTTGTAGATAATTCTGTATTTCCTTAACTGAAGTTATACTTTCCCACGAATCTTTCCTTGTTAAACCATATGCCTGACGAACATCATTATATAATCCAATCCCTATAATAAATTATTTTTTAACATTATCTCATATATGTAAATACACGCACACACACACACACCAATTCATACCTCTATCTCTAGCTCTTAGAGAATCAAATGCTATAAGATCATAAGTGTTTGGTTCAGGTGATCTAATATTTCTTGTTGCATCAGAATAAAATATATCGGCTTCTTCTTGATGCTGTAAAGACAATGATGTCAACAATCTCGCTGCACCAAATTTTTCTAGTAAGCTCGTATCTGTAACATTTTGTAATGGTAATTCAATAACTGTATCACCATTTTCATCTTGAATTCGAAAAAAATCACTCATATCACTATGACCATATCTGAATGTTACTGTTGAAAAAAAAACATCAATTCCTGGAGTTAGATCTGGATCATATTTTTGATATGGCGGTAGTTGTTTACCCAGTATGACATTAAGATATTCTTCTACAACAACTTTTTGATAAAATGCAATATTCCATTTCCTCTAATTAATTAAAAAAAATTTATCATTATCATCTCAATTACTAGAAAGTTTTTATTCATCACACTAAACTAGACGAAACATAACAATCCTATCGCCTTGTGTGTGACGCTTTATATTACAGAAATGTCAAGCAATTGTTTACAAATTAAATACAAAACTTACTGCCTCTTCAAAATATTGATCATCAGTCCATTCGTCACCATATTTTATATAAAGCTCATCACATAATCTGTTATGTTCGCGTAGCCAAATAGTCTGTATGGACATTGTAAAAATATTGTTTGATCGTACTCCGACAGTTCCAAGGACATAATTTCCTGTTGTTGGATCCTTAAATGGGTAAGGATCAGCCACATTTCCACTGGTCTTTAATTTTCCTCTATTACCCTCACGAAGACTTTTTGCACTTTCAGCAGTAATACCATAAATAGGACTCAGGTCCAAAAAAGGTGTTAAATTATTGTAACCATTACGCTTGGATTTTTGTGTAGCAGTAGTAAGAAAATCCGATCGATTGAAAGGAAGAGACCTCAAACTACTTAATTGACCTGGTAATGACGTTGCTGAATTATATGAATATGAGTTATACGTTGCATCATCAGATGGTATATACAATGGATTATCTGGAAGATTGTTTGATGAACTGATAAGATCATAACCAACAAATTCAGCAAAAAAAGTAGTCTAGAAAGAAAATTAAACAAAAAATCAATTAATTCAAAAATCAATTTGAGAAAACAATTGTTAAAAAGAAGATTTTTTACCAAATGACTGGTTCGTCTTTTAGATCGATAACTCATTGCCTTTGCGATATCAAACTTATCTAAACGATAATTTGCTATAATATTAGAGATACATCTTGGCATTGGATAAGTATCAGCTGGTAGTTGATCGGTACAACTAGGTACTGGTTGTTGTACGTTAAGAATATTATCAGAAGGAGTTTTTATCATCGAATCTCCATCTGGACTAATATTTTTCATGAAAGAAAAATAATCAAATCATTAATTGATCGTTTAACAACAGCATCAAAACAATATAGTTACCCAAAAAAGGGATCAGGGGGGTAGTTCCTTTGAAAATTTTGTTGTGGAGTACCAGGAGTTGGATTATTTAAATTATTATCACTACCATCTAAAAGTCGAGATTCACATGATAAAGATACTATGAGTAGTAGTATCAGAAGAAGATGGAATTGGGTTAATAAATTCCTTCCCGCTTTCCCTCTCTGATGATTATAAAACATTTCTTTTTCTATTTTTTTTTGGAGAAATAAATTTCAACAAAATAATTTCACTCTAATGGGTTTTATTTATTTATAGATTTTATTTATACAAACATAATAAATAATATTTTTTTTTAAGATCATACAATAAAATAATGTTAGAAATTTAGATGGAAGGACAAATCGTTTGTTTTTGTTTTTATTATTCCTTACACCCGTTTTTTTATGAGACTCGAGGTTATTTAGGTAAAAAGATTTAATATTACTTTTTTGGTGATAAATAATCGTATGCAACTTTTTCTAATGCAACGTTGCAATAAATAATAAGAAATTCAAATTTATCATATGCAAAGGTACTGTTTCACGAAAACAAATAATTCAATATTAAATATTGAAATAGTTGAATTTCATTTCAGGAAGAGAAATATCAAGCAAGATGTTGTCATTGAAAAAACTTTAAGCCTTGATTTTAAGTTCAATACTTATCTTTAAAAAAATGTTTATCATTAAAACATTAAAAATGGGAATGCACAATAAAGGCGTTTTTTTCGTAACACAAGAATCAAATTTTTCTGATAGTAATTTAAACAATTTAAGATTATTGATACTCCTACAAAAACCATGAATCTAAAGACCTTGACTAAACGCTGGTTTATTCAACATGGTTGATGGTTAATTACTTCGAGAACTAATCAACTTATGGATACTACAAGGGGTCAGAGTAAAGTTAATCTAAAGAATCAACACTCGCAGTATTTATTTATTAATTTCTTTATTTAGACTCAATATTCGATTATCAGCATATTGGCATATTAGGAACCACAATGAAAAAGAATTCAGAATTAACAGCTCTTTTAAGATTTCTTTTTATAGATTGATCAACGTCAATTTTATTATATTGCTGGCCAATTGGGAGAGTTTTAAACAGAATGAAAATGACGTTTTGAGAAAAAGATTTGCATTGTTATTGCTTTTGAAACTTCAAAGGGGAAAGTATCTCTATTAATATATGCAAAGTGGGTGGGTGTACTGGACCAAAATCATCTACATTAGAGGTTGGAATCGTCCAAAAAAATCCTTAATCAACTACTAGTTAGCCAAAATTTCTTTAGTCGACTATTATTTTAATTGACTATTTTAGTCGACTAAATTTTTTTTTTAATTTGCAAATTACGAATTCATTTCCATTTGAATATTTCCACACAAAACCATGAGTTACAATTCGTTTTTTTAAAGGTATTTTGGAACTACCGCTTAAATCATTGGAACCTGAAGCCAATGAAGTATTGGACCTTGCATCGGAAGTGTTTATTCGTTCACATGTAAAATATCATCAACAACACCACCATTATTGTCGTCATCATCATATTGATGGTATTGATACTCTTCCGCATAGAAATTTTCCATTTTGAATGATAAAACACAAAATCGTAATTGGTCAGACAATAATTAGTAATATTAGTAGTCGACTATTACATAAAAGTTACATATACATGGGAATTGTATCAACTCAAAATTGCCTTTTTGGGAGTATGATTTCTTAATTTTCAAAGCTACTACAAATGTAAACTCAATAAGTCGGATGCAGCAATCAATTGTTTAAAGTAGTTGATAATAACTGACTTATCGAGTTTACATGTGTATTATGTATAATAATAACAATACATTGTACATTTTAAAACCACTCAAATATTACCGTCAAAGAACAATCGAGGGAGTAAATCTGGAAGGAAATTGATAAAATGCCAAAATTATGTTTATATTCAATTTTATTTGTTTGTTATTGTTATTTTTTATTTCAGCACAGAAGGTATAGTGCAAGACACAACTTTCTGCGCTACGGCGTCAGTTTTTGAGAAAAAAATCTACAATCAAAAATGCAATAAAAATTTTATTGTCACACATTTGTAAAGATTGTCAAGTGTGAATTTTATCTAGATAATATAAATATGTGACAACTAATATACCAATTATATTAGGAAAAAGGAAAGATAAGAGATGATGATAATAATTTGTTCGGTTTTGTTATCACGTGACAAAAGATCATTCAAATTTTAATATAAAAATTTGCGTGTAACACGTCACTTTGGGGGTTAACATAGTAAATTTGTTAAGCTTGTACAACTTTGAGGCAGTATTGTGCCATTTATGATTCCAATGAAATTTCATTGGAAAATTCCAATTGGAAATTGGAGTGTTCCTAATGAAGTTAACCAATGAAATTCAATTACTATGCCTCATACACGAATTTTTATTGGTCAATATCAATTGAAGATCTACATTGGAGCATTACAATGTTCCAATTGCACAACACTGCTTTGATGCTTAATTCCTCCACAACAATGTGGCATATACTCAAAAGTAAAATTTTTTGAAATATCATGTGATCCACATGTTGGATTTTAAAAACCACCACCATTCAATTCATGTAAAAAAAAATATATCTCAAATTTTTTATTTTCGTGTTACAATATTTTTGACCAAATTTAGGGATGATTTTCTTTTGTAAAGAATATTTATTATTATTAAAAAAAGAAAAAGGAATAAACAATACAAATAAATCAACATATATTTTGAAGCTGACTGATTGTTACTATAAGCAATTAATTGATTATAGATGATCTATACCATATCAACAAAATGAAGATGTAACTTTATAGAGAAAGGCCTTAGCTTCAAAGTTACATTTTGTTTTTTGGTCATGTATTTCCATTTTTGGAGGAGTTAAAGGATCTGCAAGACCAATAAGTTGTGGGACCAAGTGTCTTGCACTGTATATTTTGAACTGGTATTCAGATTTCTGACTAAACAATCTTGCTTTGTTATTTTGTTGAATTAGTAAAATCCAAAGATTTCTTTCCAATTCAATATTTTCATTAGGACCTTAAAAATTAAATTTACATCACGTTGATTTGCATTTATCAGTTATATTCTATTGTACTACTTTTAATTTTGAGATGCTGAATTGTGCTTAATTGCACTGTCTTGCATGTTTGTGTTAGGAAATTTTAATTAAACCTGACACCTGCAATCAACATCAGATTTATTATTCATAAGGAACCATGATTGATAATCAGGAAAAATAATTTATTTTGTGAACCCCAGAGATCTGCGTAGACATGCATTGTTAAGAGTTTTGTTTATACATGGCCTGGTATTGTTACTACCTGGATGATGCAATTGTTTGTTATGTCAATTATAACATCAAACATATTGAATAATAGTCATGATCATCATGGATATTTGATGGATGGAGGCATTCACATACAAGGAAATGATTAAATAGTTAAGTCATGTCTGTTTTATTAAAGATGTATGATTAATTATATAATAAAAAAAATTTTGCAT